GGCACAAAGGAATGACAATCACATGAGATTAGGCTGAATTGCCTTTGGGAACCCTGAAGAATAACAGGACTGTGTCTTGGACACGCTATTCATCATTGAATCTTACCTCCTCATGGTTTCTCTTTAGAGCAATCAGCTCATCCTTCAGGGACTCGAGCTCGGATTCCAGGGAAGATCTAACCAGAGTCAGGTCATCCAGAAGATTTCTCAAGCCATTGATGTCAGCCTCCACAGTCTGACGAATCACCAACTCATTCTCATACCTTTACCACAGACAAGAGAGACAGAGAAAAGGAGAAATGAGATTATGACTGTCAGTGCCATACATCTTTCCAGGATCAGTATCCCAATAAAACATGAAGACTCAGTAACACCACTTAGGGCAGTGCTGCCTGAAGTTATGAGCAGGATTTGAAAGACATGTAAGGTTCTGGAGAGGTACTCACTTCATTCGGAAGTCATCAGCCGTCATCTTGCTGTTATCGATGTCCAGAAGCATTCTGTTATTTTCCACTGTGGCAGCAATGATCTAAAAAAGGGGAAAGTGAAGAGAAGTCCTTCTGCATTCCAGGCATCCAGAAGAAGAAAGAAGACCCAAAGGTTTGTCAGGGTGTTGTTGAGGGTCTTGGAATTGTTTCCTGCATTAATGCAGAGGCCATGTGAGAGGGAAAACACCTCAGATTTGCTTTTCAAGGACACTTGGGCTATTGCAGACCATCCTCCTGAATCCCTACTCTTTGCTTCTCTTTCTCAAGTTAGAGAAATGTCCCAGGGAATGTATTGAAGCCTTTTGCTGCAGTGTGTTTCTTCATGGTTTGTTGAACCTATTATTTTCCTGGTACTGGTGTAACCTCACTGTAAAGACAGCCTGGGTCCTTCCATCGAGTAGACATAGGAATGTACAGAGACAAAGGGAGTTCAGATCGTGCAGTCCAGGTGCTTTGGCTTTGTGCTCCATCCAGCTGAGCTGGGTGGGAGCAGGTGGAAGAACTGGAAACCACACACACCTGGTTTGGAGCCACCTCTACAATGTGGGGTTTCAGTTCTGTGCGCCAGCAGGTCTGGGCCTGGTGGAGCACTTGGTGCCTTGGGCTGACCTCAGAGCACATCCCCTTTGCTCGTGTGGGGGTTTGCTGGCCCAAGAGGTGGGAGGCACAGCTCAGCAGCTCCCTGCCTGAAGCAACGCCAGAAAGGCCACCCAGTAGCACCCTTCCAGCCCTTTGGAGCTATTGCCAGAAGGCAGGAGGAGGGTCTTACAATGGAGAAGAGCATATTGGAGATGGAGCCCCAATAGACAGGGCTGTCCTACCTGGTTCTGGAGTTGTTCAATGGTCTGGTAATAGGAGCTGTAGTCCTTCGAAACGCCGGGAGCTTGTTTCCTGTACCACTCCCGGATGTGGTGCTCCAGCTGAGCATTTTCTTCCTCCAGCCTTCGCACCTTGTCCAGGTAGGCGGCCAGGCGGTCATTGAGGTTCTGCATGGTGATCTTCTCGTTGCCATTGAGCAGGAGGTCCCCTCCGGCACCAAAGCTTCCCCCAAAGCCGCCGCCAAAGCCCCCCCCAAAGCCCCCAGTGAGGCTGCCTGCGCTCATGCCCCCGCCATAGACAGTGCCACACGCTCCCCCCCCATAGCTGCCCCCGCCGACGACGGAGGAGGCGTAGCGCCTGCAGGAGACGGAGGAGCTGCGGCCGCTCCCGCCACCGCAGGCACCGCCACCGCCGCCGCTGCGGTAAGAGGTGCTGGATGTTCTCTTGATGCTGCAGCTCATGGTGGAAGGAATCAGAGATCCGGCCCCAAATGCAAAGCCCGCTGCAAGCTTGATGGAGACAGTGCGAGTGCAGTCTGTGTCCTCGCTGAGGGCATTTATAGCCTGCTGGGTGGGTGTCAGCTGAAGGCAGCCCAGCTTCCCAGGAGGTTTGCCAGCCCCAGTGCTCATGCCAAAAGTGATGTGCTAATGAAATTTTGTCTGAGGTAAGGCAAACGCATTACCCTTCTGTTCAAGTATGTCTGTTGATTCACACAAAGCATGCACTATAATTCATGTGGGTGGCTCTTGGATATTTTGTTGGATAATATAATATCTCACAGCTTCTATTAATCTGGCAATATATCGCCAGTAACTGAAGTTAATGACGGCTCCACCTTGGTCTGTCTCCTGCAGTCTTCTGGGTGGCGAAATGCCGTGTTTCAGCCCTTGTCTTCCTCCTGTGATCACAGACAATGATTTGTACAACCAGCAGCCCAAGGGGCTCTACACTCCTTTATTTATTCACCACTTATACTGGCTATTTGGAAATCTACTGTGATTTACTGAGATGATAAATTATTAGCTTTGAAAAGTGCATTCCATGTCTGTTACAGACTAGAACTTCACACCGAACGTTTTACTCTCTTGTCACCGTTGATATTTCAGAAGGTCCTGCTGGTGTCTGGTAGAGGATGGTGATTGCAGTCACTTTGCTGATGAAGAAAACTGGGTGACAGCCACAAAATTAGTACTTAGCAAGGGATAATGTATTTCACCTTTTCCTATCAAACAGCTATTCATTTTATTTTAGCGGTTTTAAATGGACCCAGAAGAAATTTACAGGAGAAATCTTTGAAACTTCCGATTCTCATAATACATTAAAAATAGGCATTTCTCGGAATATGTCCTTGAATTATAGAATGCTGTTAAAAAATGAGTTTGATTCAAAGATACGGTGACAAAGATTAGATCTGGGAAAATACAATCATTATCCGAGTTGTTCCAGTGACTTGTTCCGTCACTGTACCATGAGAGAGTGTCTTGCAACACACAGCAGGGGAAGAAGCAGTTGTGTATTTTTTTCCACTGCCTGTGCAGTGTGGGATGGTCACTGAGCCACCTTTTCCATCCTTACCAAACAAGCTCCTGTGGAACTGAGAAAAGGCTCAACAGAAACGAGCTCAGGTTTCCAGCTGTGAGCAAAGCACTGGCACTGTAACTCCTGCAGAAGAGCCGCTGGCTGGCACAAAGGAAGCACAAGGAGGGGTCTGCTGTAAATGACCACCTCAAAATCAGCTTATCCACAGAGAGGGAGGATGAATTCAATGTAAAAGGACTTTAGGAAGAGATTCCATATTACAGGGGAAGAAATAAACTCATTAAAATTATCAAAGAAGAGTGAGAAGGGACTGAGTCACTTCACACCTGAAGGGATGAACCGGAGGAGGGAGCAGGATGGTCTAAATCTGAAGACAGCAGTGCCTGGATGTGCCGCTCTGGAGTGACCCTGACAGACACCCCAAACTGCTCGATTGCTCCCCCTCCTCGGCTGGACAGGGGACAGAAATGCAACAAAAGGCTCATGGGTTGAGATAAGGAGAAGGAGGTATCACTCACCAGTTCCTGTCATGGGCAAAGCAGACTTAGCTCACCAAGGGGGTGCTGGGGAATCTCTGCTCTGGTGCCTGGAGCACTTCTTTCCCTCCTCCTTCACTGACCTTGGGCTCTGCAGGGCTGTTACTCTCACACATTCTCACTCCTTTTTCTGCTGCTGTTGCACAGTTTTTCCCTTTCTTAAATACCTTACCCTAGAGGTGCTGCCACCATCACTGATGAGCTCAGCCTTGGCCAGCAGTGGCTCTGTCTTGGAGCCTGCTGCATTGGCTCTGTTGGACATGGGGGAAGCTTCTGGAAGCTTCTCACGTAAGTGACCCCTATAGCCCCCCACTGCCAAACCCTTGATTTGCAAACCCAATACAGTGCCCTGTGGATGGAAAAAGAGCTGAAGTCCTGAACAGGAGCACCTCTAGGTTGTGCTTTGCTCTTAGCATGTACTGGCTGCCACTCAGCTTCTCCAGCACCCACTGGACCAGGCACCAAGGAACTGCTTACAGACAAGGTTCCTGCTCCCACTGGTCCTCTGATCCATGCTTTTCATTCGCATACCACTGACTTCCTCCTGAAGACTCTTCATTCCCTCTAAATGGGTCTCTCCCTAGTTGCTGTCTATATTCTGCCCCTTTCTGAACTTCACCGTATGGTCTGTAGCACTTGCTGCCTGTGGGCCAGCAGGGTATTTACAAGGCAGGAAAACAAATCCTCTTTAAAGGTTAAAGTGTAGATTGACATCTGTAGAGGTGGTTGTAATGTACAAGGTGCATGAGGTAACAACATAGTACCCTCTAGAGGGCTCCAGCATGGCACTGGTGGGTGCTTTGACATTGCATTTGCTGTGAACATCCTCCCTCTCCAGATGATGGATCCAAGGATCCAAACATCCAAGGATCTAAACCGAAGAACTAGAAATCACCGTTAGTGGAATCTCATTCTTCCTATTGTGTGTCGCTGGAAGTATTTGTCACTGTTTAACATTTATGTCAATTTGCTTCATAGCACGGATCTTCCTATATCCAGAAGTAAATAGCCTCGGTACTTTCCCATGTAACTCATTTGCACAGGTAGGAAGCACGTACTGCTGTTAGCATTAGTGTTTTATGGAGGAGAATTTTGTAAAGATCCTGTAAATCATATTTCCTTCAATTTTTTTTCTCTTGTCTTTTCAAAACCAGACCCGTAGTTTGTGCATTTCCAATTTAAGCCAGCGAGTGTCACTTAAATTGAAACATTCATTTTACAGTCCTCATCTGTAACCATTCCTGTTTCTTTGTGTCAGGCCTGGATGGGCCCTGGTTTGATGTTAGCACCTGTGTAGTGCTGTGCTAAGTTCTGCAGCCTGGGGCTCAACTGTCACCGAGCTTAGAGCTCAGCTCCACAAGAGTATCTGGCATGTAACTGAAAGGCAAAGGCACGGCTCAGGATGCTCCAAGAAGATTAGGATCTGCCCTACGTGCCTAAAAATTGTGCTTTAACTCTAAATTTCATTAGCAACTATTGTATCACCAGCTTTTCTACCTAGAGGCGTGTATTGCTGTGCTTTGTCTTCTCTGTTTAAGTGCTTACAACCACAGATGGAAGAAAACCTGTACACGAGATTTAGTTGCATCAGACAGAAATGAAGTTTTATTAGCGACATTTTCCTCGTACAGAGCAAGCCAAGTAACAACCAGGTTGAAGGTGCAAAGTGAGTAGCTCAGGAGACAGTGATGGAAGCCATCAAAGTTCTGGGCTGAAGCAGCACACAGCATGTGGGGCAGGAGGTTGAGCAGCCCTTCTGGGTAGCTCTGATGGGCCTTTTTGGATAGATGGCATCAGCAAGGCTGAGGGACTGTGAAGAGCATCTCTGTTTCTTCAGGAGCAAGGGGATTGTAGAGGATTTGAGCCAGTTTTGGTTTGAAAGGTGTTGCACTGTAGGATCCTCGAGGTATATTCTTAGTCAAAAGATTTTCTTCCGTACCCTGTTTGGAAACAAAGCAATCATTAACTTCTGCAGTGCTGGTACTGACTCTGAGGCACCAGTATCTACCAGACAGAAGAGAAGCTTGGTGGTGTGATAGGTGACCATATGTGTTCTGAAAGCGTAAAGGAAAACCTCAGTGTGGTACAATAGCTGGTGTCACCCACAAAACTGAATAGTAATTGAATGTGGGTTTCTTAAGTGGAGTTGATCCTTTGCACACAAGTAGGAAAGGACTGTTAATAGAAGTAAATCTAACTCTTCCCAGAAATGCCAGCTTATCCTCGGCACTGTTCACCTCTGGAACAGTCTGTTGATAGAGTGCATGGATCAGTGAGGACAGGACTGAGAGAACAGAGTGCAGGTACAACAGCTCTCACCTTGGCTTTCACCACCACTCCTGCAGGACTGAGACTGGGAAGATGAAGAGTAGGAGTGGGAACTGCTGACGCCTCCAGAGATCCTTCCTCCTCCTCCTCCTCCTCCAATGCTACTGCATCCACCGCCGCTTCCCCCTCCTATTCCTCCACTTCCTCCTCCCGATCCTCCTCCAATTCCTCCTCCCATTCCGCTGCCAGAGGAGATGCCACCACCTCCATATCCACCACTCATGCTACCACCTCCTCCATATCCACCACTCATGCTACCACCTCCTCCTCTTCCTCCTCCTCCGGAAGAGTAGCCACCACCTCCTATTCTACCACCTCCCATTCCTCCTCCTATTCCTCCTGCTGGGATTCTGCAGAGAGAGAGAAAGGAGAAAAAAAGTTAATCATCAAATACATTGTCTCTGTGACTGATCCACCAACCCGGGGTTCACACAATGCTGTGCTCTTTTCCAGTTTACATACACAAGGTCCTGCTGCCCCTCCTCCAGCAGAGCCCGGTACTGAGCAATCTCCTGCTCCAGGCGGGTCTTGATGCCCAGGAGCATCTTGTACTCTTCGTTCTGACTCTCCATCTCACAGCGGATGCTGGCCAGCTCCTCCTCCAAGGGACCAATCATCCCCTGGATCTGCTGCAGCTGCATGTTGTAACGGCGTTCCGTGTCTTCCAGGTTGGACTGCAAAGAGTCCACCTGCAAAGGGAAAGCACAAGATGGTGTTTATGGGAATGTGGCACGTTCAACTCCCTTTTGTGGAAAACTGGAGATCATCACAAACCAGACAAAAAGTCTGTCTCTGAAAATAAGTGATCTGGATTCCCGTTCTCTAGAGGTGGAGTGCTAAGTGCAACCATTCATTCTGGTGACGCATGCAGCCTGTGTCACCAATGAAACAGAATCAGATGTCTTCACTTACCATGCTGATCTGCGACTGCAGCTCGATTTCCAGGCTCTGGTATTCACGTCTCAGCTCAGAGATCTGTTGGTTGCTTGATTGTATCTCCTGGCCACTTGAGTGGACTTGTTGGTTAACTTCTTCCATCTGAAAAATTCACATACATAATTGAGGCTGGCTGGATAATAACACACTGGAGGAGGTATCATGAAACACTGAGAAAGCAACTAATAAGAATAAAGAGAGGTGTAACGTAGACTGGTGGTGTGTGTTTCCCACAGGCCGCTCTGCTAGCTTAAGTCTTTGTAATTCACACAGACATTCCCCATGCTTTTCCACATAACCCGTATACTCCAGAACTGGTCTGTTCCAGTAAACTCCTTAAAGTCATTTCCAGTTAGTGTCCTTTCAATAATAGGTGATAAATTGTCTTTCCGCTGCTGGATAGAAATAGGTTCAGTTCTTTGTGAAAGACATAGTAACCAACCCCCTGTGCTTTACCTTGGTTTCGTACCAGCTTTCCACCTCTCTCCGGTTGTTCTCAATGAGTCGTTCATATTCGGTACGCATTTCATTCAGTTTTTCCATCAGATTGATGCCAGGGGTAGCATTGACTTCCACACTGACATCCCCCCCAGACTGCGTCTGCAGACCCTTTATTTCCTGGGAAAAAGAAAACATAAAAGGTGAAGAGAAGGAGAAATGTCATGGCTTCAAGGAAAGGAAAAGAAAGGGACACAAATCCTCACACAGCCGTGTTGCTTCTGCAAAGGGGCCTCATCAGGAAAGGGAGCAATTCTGCCATTCCTAAGGCAGACTTTGCAGTGCACAACAGCCAGGCACCATGTACACATTGACCTGGACATGCACAAGGAATTCTGTGCAGCGTGCTTTTCTGTGAAAATCCTTCTATGTATTTTTCTTCTCAATGGGAAATATCCCTGCAGGTTGTATCAGTATTGCCTTTTGACTCCTCCATATATTCTCTCCAATTTTCCCTCCATGACTTCAGCAACAAAACTGTACTTTGCACTGGAGCTGTTCATTTCCCTGGCCTCATTGTGTCCATGGTGACCCACGTGTCTTATTACAGTGACTTTGGGCAGCTGTGAGTGCTGCATGCTCCTGAGAATCAAAGCCAGGTTGTGTCTACTTGAATGGTCAAAGCCAGCAGCCAAAATCTGGTTACTGCTGGTGGAAGAAACCCCTAGGAAATCCTCTCAGTGTTTTGTTGTTTTAAAGGGTGGAGAAACTTACCTCTTCATGGTTCCTCTTGAGATAGATCAGTTCCTCTTTCAGGGATTCAAACTGTGTCTCCAAGTCAGACCTGGATAGAGTCAGCTGATCCAGAAGTGGGCGTAAGCCATTGATATCACTTGCCACACTCTGGTGGAGAGTATATTCTGTTTCATACCTGAACAACAGACAAGAGAGACTGTAAAAGTGCTGCCAGACCTCTTTGGTTGTGGATTGCTTATGAAGAGTTCCCATCAGTACATCTTTGGTCTTTAACCCCTTGCTCAGTTCTTAAAAGAAAGGCTCTTATTCTCTTTCCATCTTTAACATGTTTGTTTGCTTTCAGTAGAATTTCTGTCAATCAGATCTCTGTGATGAGTATTATGCTTATAAATCTGCATGCAAGGATGGAGAAACTTAGAGTGCAGTCCTAGAAATGGCACCTTCAGTCTCTTGTCTGGAGAAAAATATTAATGAGAAGCTAAACAAGTCATTCACAGCATGCTTTCCCCAGCAATTCTCTGTTCTGTCCCTGGAGCCAAGGGGCTGTAGCACCTACAAAGACAATATGAAAGTAGGGGGAGTAAAGGGAAGGAAAGGCTCACTTCAGTCTGAAGTCATCCACAGTCATTCTGGTGTTGTCGATGTCAAGGAGGATCTTGTTGAGGTCCACATTTGCACCAACAATCTGAAAGGGAGAGGGCAGATGTGTTCGGTCAGTTGGCTTTTCAGTCTGACACACAGATAGAGGGAAGAAATTGCTTTGCAGAAATACAGCTCAGAATATCTTTACGGCAACGTCAAGCCTGACTAATGCTGCATGAGCCATGCATAGAGAGTTTATTGCTTCCAGTTAAAAGAAAGTGCCTTTGCTGTCAATTTTGGTTTACAAATATCCATTTAAAATACCTTTCTGGAAAGGATAGCTAAATAAATCCCCTGTATTAAATAAAACAGTGGAAAAACAGAATAACCATTGTGTTTGGCAACAGTCATGTCATCTAGGACATATGGGACTCTTAGATGGCTGAATCATAGAATCACAGAATGGTTTGGGTTGGAAGGGACCTTAAACAATAGCATTGAGGAGAGCACTGGACAGGCCCCATGATGGGTGCTGAGCTATGATGAGTGCTTGAGTAAAGATCTGCTGTTTCGCCAAACCACGCTGCCTGCACCGAATACAAGTGTGCCAGGATCCCTGTGTCACCATGACAGAGAAAAGCCAGGAGCTGGGTTTGTCACCACCCCAGCCTGCTTCCCACTGGCACAAAGGAGGGGACGTACTGCCCCAAACAGCAGGAGGCAACTGCTGTTCTAATGAGGATCTGCTCAAAGTTAGTCACATTCCATCCTACCTGGTTCTGCAGTTCTTCAATGGTCCTGTAGTATTGGCTGTAGTCCCTGGCACTAGTGGGACCTTGATTCTTGTACCACTCCCTGATCAGTTGCTCAAGTTGAGAATTTTCTTCCTCCAAGCGTCGCACTTTATCCATATAAGAAGCCAGGCGATCATTGAGGTTCTGCATGGTCAGCTTCTCATTTGTGGACAGCAAGCCACCATCTTCACCAAACCCCATTCCACCAAAACTACCTCCTCCATAGCCACCACCTCCAAAGCTGCCACCACCAAAGCCACCACTACCCCCAAAGCCACTAAATCCACCTCCGCTGTATCCACCGCCTCCAAAGCTACCTCCACCGAGGCCAGCCCCATAACCACCTCCCATGCCCCCAAAACTACCCCCACCTGATCCAAATCCTCCTCCCATACTTCCACAGCTCATTCCTCCTCCATAACTACCACCACTTATTCTCCCTCCATAGCTACTGCGGCTAATCCTTCCACAGCTGCCACTGCTGAAGCCCGCTCCATAGCTGCTCCTGGAAACTCCTCCACCAAAGCTTCTCCCAGAAAAGCCTCCACCTCCTCCAGAAGAGGTGTATTTTCTAGAGGACACTGAGGAGTATCCACCAGACCTCCGTGCTCCACAGCTGCTACCCCCTCCACCACCTCCACCACTGTATCCTCCACCACCACCACCACCACCTCCACTGCTAATTCTAGTGGTACTAGTCGAGGACTTAGTGCCACAGCTCATGGTGCCAGCAGGTGAGTCTGACCGCAATCCCAAGTGGAGGTGCACAGCCTGATAAGAGTCAGGACTGTAAATTTTCATCCCCAGCTCTCTCTATTTATATTTTTGACAGTGGGTGTCACCATCAGGGTGTTTCCTTCTCCCAGGGCATTTACCAACCTTGTTGTTTGTGCCAAGAATAATTTGCTGAACACTATTTTTGTGCTGATATCTCACGCAATCTGGCCCATTGCTGGGTTCAGGGTGTTTGGTTAAGACCGAACATCTTGCTTCTCTCGGGTGGCATTCTCATGGCATGGTCTCCAGAATGGGTTGCCTGTTGCCTCAAGCAGCCTGGATCTGCTTTAGGATGGAAAAGCCACTTTATACAGGATCCTGTTGAAGCTAATGGGAGACAATGTGTACTTCATGGACCTATACAGAGAGAGGGTTTGCTCTCAGTTCTCCCCTAAATGAAAGATGAAGCTCAAATCTCTCATGTTAGACTGTGCATTATTTGTTCCATTATTATTCTACTTTCATTGCTGAGGTTTTTGTAGCTCCTGTTGTCCTGTTGTTCTCTTTTGCTCTTTCATATTTTGTGCATTTAAGATCTACTCTGCTTATCTTCTTTTTCTCACTATACATGATAGAGTAAGAGTTTTCATACTAGGACTGTGTAACTTGTTTCACTTGTCCAACCTGTGTATCCCTGCCATCACTTAGACAACATATTTATTTACATGAGAAGTCTGTTTCAAGCAATGCAATGGGATTCATATTTAAAAATCAAAATCCTTCCTGTGTGAAGGAGGTGACAGGGCAGCTCACTTGGGATTTCTAGGTCGATAGCCAAGTCCTAGAAATCAAAGAGAAAAAAAGGCTTTTCTTCATCAAAGAGCTGTTATCTAAACTAGTAAGAAGGCTAAGGATACTTGAATTGTATTATAATGACAACTAGAGCACAATTAGGAGCTGAATTAATGCAGACAATGACCTATAAACTACTGCGTAGGAAGTCCTTTTATGGTTTAATATAAAACTGCTCATTTTCCCCGCTGTTACTCTGTCATATATGACAAGTGATAGAGTAATTATATAGACTGCTCTTAATGCAGAGATCCTTGAGACTCTAAAATAGTCATCAGAGAGACATGTTGAAAGGCTTTTGCAGTAGTCAGTTGAAATCTGTTGAGACCACAAAAGAAATTCAGCCGTACTTCAGTCTTGCACTGATCCGCAGCGTGGACTGGGGAGTGGTTTTTAGCCTCACCTTTGTCCTGGCCATAAAGTAAATATTCCGGTTCAAATGGGAGACTGAGCTGAGCTCTTAGGCAGAAGCTCTTCCCTGTGAGGGTGCTGAGGCGCTGGCACAGGGTGCCCAGAGAAGCTGTGGCTGCCCCATCCCTGGCAGTGTTCAAGGCCAGGTTGGACACAGGGGCTTGGAGCAAGCTGCTTCAGTGGAAGGGGCCCCTGCCTGTGGCAGGGGTTGGAGCTGGGTGAGCTTTGAGATCCCTTCCAACACAAACCAGTCTGGGATTTGATGAAATGCAGAATCTTCTTTCCTCAGCACCCACTTAGCTCTGTTCTTACACTGCAGGCTTGTATGAGAGATTTCCATCATATTTTTAAATACAGTAGAGACTTGATTCATGCAAACAGCCTGTTCCCACCAACACATTGGAGACAACAACAAAACCCTCAGCACCCGTGGACTTGCCGTACAGGGATCCAGACTGTTACAGTGTGCTTAGGCAGAAGTGTACACGTTTCCAGTGACAGCTTTGTTCTTTGTTTCATTACTGATCCTCTGATGACTGTAAGGTATTTATGAAATTTAGCAATCTCCCGCTAATGTTAATAAATCTCCCCCTAAACCTCAGGAGCAGGGAACAAAGAAGCACCCACCTGAGGAGCTCCTCACTTCTCTGCTGCCCTTTTCTCAACATGTTCAAAAAGGCCAAGGCCACCCTGACTTGGAAGTTGACTGCGTTGCTGCAGGTTTTTTACATGCTGCTGTCAGTCTCCACGTGCAAGATTCTTTCAGAAACTAAATTTCTGCCTCTTAACTTCTGGTCTTTTTTCTGTTAAATTCAGGATTATTTCACATTTTCTGACTGAAACCATTGTCATGTCCTCTGCACTGTGCTTCTGCCAGCTTTGCTTTATTGCTGCTTATGCAATCTCTTTCAAAAGCTCTCTGATTTTATCTTGCTGTTTGATATACTCAATGGCTCAAAGGTGATGAAAGATTTCAAGTAACTTGATGATGAGATAATTTCTCCTTGATTCACAGCTGGAGGATGGTAGTGTCACCTCAGCGTGTAAACACAGTTTCAGTGAGCACACAGCATCAGTGCGGGCAGTGATACTCCTTAGAGGTGCTTTTCACAGACAAGCTCCAACAGTCTATGAAATGTTAGGGATAGAGAGCAAAAAATTCTCTGGAATTACTAAAACAAAGAGTAAAACCATTGGCCCAAGGAGTCTTTTAATCTGTTTATGTACTGTCTGAGAACCTCCATTGCTTCCTATTTTATTTATCCATTGACTTTCTGTATGGACTCATTCTCAGCAGGGACTTGTCCGTACCGGAAGGTTCTTCTGATAAGGGGCATATCTTACCATCTGCTAGGAAAACAGAGTGCACAACTTTAGATGGCCTCAACATTTCATTTCGGCTCTATATTATTACTGCTTTTTTGTATGTAAGGGAGGGACACAGGTAAAAGATTCTGCCTATAGGTCTTACGTAGCCTTCAAGTCCTGTGCTCACAGGATGTTCTTTTTCTGTCCTTAGTGTTGCCATCATTTAATTTTGGTGACAGTGCAATCTCAGTGCTTCCTCCAGAGTCCTGCTGGCTGGTGGGAATCGCTGTGTTCTTCACAGCTGGAGCTTTTCCCTTGGGGTATTTTGTTTCTTTTACAGTCACTATGTTCTCAATAATGTCGCATAACTCTTTGGGCTGCAATACCAAGGCACCAGGATAAGGACATTTATCACCACAGCCACCAGCGTTCCTCAGCCTGTGGAGTGTTGGGATGTTTTTATGTACCGCTTCCTGCCCAGCTCAGCACAGGCCACACTTCAGGAGCAACAGACATTCCTTCACTCTCACTGTTCATGTTTTCCTTTTAACCAGCCTCCGTGATACATCTGTGCATGACTGCATAGACTGAGATGAGCTCTCAGGCAGAAACTCTTCCCTGTGAGGGTGCCCAGAGAAGCTGTGGCTGCCCCATCCCTGGCAGTGTTCAAGGCCAGGTTGGACACAGGGGCTTGGAGCAAGCTGCTCCAGTGGAAGGGGTCCCTGCCCGTGGCAGGGGTTGAAACTGAATGAGCTTTAAGGTTCCTCCCAGTCCAAACCAGTCTGGGACTCTGTGAATCTGCGTAGGTACCTTGTGTTGCTACCACGGGTATGTTGTATCGTGAAAGGCACCTGCTCTTCCCCAAGTGCCTGGGAGGTCGTGCTTCTGGGCTCACCTCAGGGACACCCTGCATGGTCTCTGCTGGGGGAAGGAGCTGGTGCTGGCTCCCTTTAGCTTCAGCCTGCTCTGAACAAGTCCAGAAGCAGCCTAAAGACCTTGGTCATCAACAAGTGACATTCAGTGAATGTAGTAATGCAAGAAACTCCACCAGGACATTCCTGTTGAGATGGGGGGCTCTGAAAGTCACAATAGATCCTTCCCCCCCCAGTGCAATGGCAGACTTTACTGTACTGGATGCACAGCCCATGAGTATCACCCATGTAGCACTGGCAGCTAATAGGGCTGACAAAAGAGACATCAGCAGAATAGCTGCATGGGCAATGTTGAAATGACATCTGTGCCTTCGAATGGACACTGAATTGCTCTGGGCCTGGAGCCGGCCGCGCAGGAGTGTGTGTGCACATTTCTTTTTGCCCCAGGTTGTTCTGCAGGTCTTGTTTTAACACGTACCACAATTTTCTTCTCAGAGCTCTAACAGGAACACCAGATAAGTATCCGAATTGCAACACTTTTTGCTCATAAAATTAAAGCTCATTATGCTGATTAGCACCTAACAAAGTGCATGCAAATGAGAGCGCAGAGTGCTCCTCGCTGCTCTTCTGTCGTTGGGGTCCCACTTGCAGCACGCACCTCTCACTACAGGTATCCCTATTTCTTACTCCTGCATTGCAATAGCTGGGGTTTCTAGCTGTTCCTCCACATGAGGTTTTTGCATCACTGTTGTTATCACAAGCTTGGTCTCCCAGTAGGCAAATGCTAGTGATAGTGGTAACCTAGATGTAGGTTTTGTATATACAACATGGAAAAAGACCCTTCCTTCCAGGGTATGGCAAGAAACCATCTGAATTCAGTCTTCTTTTTGTCCGTAACGAATGCCATGATTAAATAGGTCTCTTTTAAGTTTATTGGTGGCTTGTATTTATTTCATCACATACGTGTAGCAAATAAACTTTCTTATGAAGTTTACTGGCATTATAGATGCAGACTCATTAAATGTAAGAAACAGGACAAGAACAGCTTGGTACTGACAGTACAGATCTTAGGCAAGGAAGAACACAGCACAATCAACCTGAGTAGTAAAAGGAGTACTAGTGATGTTATCTTTAAGGTCCCTTCCAGCCGTAGCCATTCTGTGATTCTATGATATTTTTGGTCCTAATTGCTCAGAAATGTTTACTTCTTGCTGTGCCTGATTATAACATCAATGTGAGCATTTAAATCAGCAGCAGAGTTGCACAGTGTATTACAACAGATCGCATTGAACATTGGCGTGTCGGCTGCAGTACTGGCTGCTCCAGTACAGCACAGAACTGCTGTCGGGATTCTCCTTCCCACACTTCCAACTCTGCCAGTTTCATTCTGCTTTGCTCTCACCAAGACTTGTTTCAGTGGAATTTTTTCTGCAAGGTTAGATGCATAGATGATGATTGTTAGGTAACTGGCAGTAAAACTACTGAAGGTTGTAATGTTGGAAAGGACAGGAGCCAGAGGTACCAGTAGTCCTCAGAGCTACTGTGGTGCTGCAGAGCAGCAAGCTCTAGCACAGGCTGCTCCTTCGAGTAAATTGTACCTAACCTCCTTAAGAGCCTCCCAGGTGCTGCTCTAGGGCCAGAGGTCAGGTGATGGCCAGTAAAAAAAACCCGTAACAGCCAGGAAGCATCACCCAGCAGCAGCAGTTTTGACATTGAAATTGGAGAATGAAGCTCTTCCCTGTGAGGGTGCTGAGGCGCTGGCACAGGGTGCCCAGAGGAGCTGTGGCTGCCCCATCCCTGGCAGTGCTCAAGGCCAGGTTGGACACAGGGGCTTGGAGCAAGCTGCTCTAGTGGAAGGGGTCCCTGCCCATGGCAGGGGTTGGAACTGGGTGAGCTTTAAGGTCCCTCCCAACACAAACCAGTCTGGGATTCTGTGATTCTATGAGGTTAACTTGCAGGCTCTTAGAGGAGGTCTGAGAAGCAAGGCTCCTATATTGGGAATATTCTTTAACTTGGGCCGTTAGTTTAGTATCTTCAGTACACAGGTCTAAGAAAGAATTGTCACTGTCTGCCAAAGGTGTCAAACTGGCAGAGCCATCAGAGAAAATAGGTTTGGAGGACAGCTAGAAACAGAGACAAGTTGGATTTGATCCTGCAAGGGTTTTAAAAATGAAGTAGGTGATTTTGCAATAGGAGGGAGATGAGGGTATCCTTGCAAACATCACCAGCGCTGCCTCTTTGCACATCAGTCAGGGATATCAGTGCATGTTTGTGTATGAAGCAGCTCTTAATGAAGATCGGACCCTACCAGAGACTGACCTGCTAGGTCAGAAGGAGAATTTCTGATCGATTTTGTTTCTTTCCAAACAGTGACAGGACTGGCTGGGAGCCTGGTGTAAGGCAACGCCGTGAATCACTGGTACAGATCTGCCTTGGACTCGGGTGCTCAGGATTCCCGTTCCCACGGTCTCCCACTCAGCCTGTGTTTCATAATGCTCTGCACTGGGTGATGCCTTCCTCAGAGTGAGAAAACAGAACTCGTGACTGTCAAACAGAGAGAGAAAACCTCGTAGCAGTGATACTCCTATCTGGAACCTTTGTGTTTAAGTAGATGAGCTGGGAAGTGCAAGGGATAAAGTGTGTGTTACAGAGCAGGTGTGTGTGTGAGAAGCCCTCTGAGTTACTGCAAAGAATCAGAGAATCCCAGACTGGTTTGGGTTAGAAGGAGCCTTAAAGCTCATCTGTTTCCAGCCCCTGCCACGGGCAGGGACACCTTCCACTGGAGCAGCTTGCTCCAAGCCCCTGTGTCCAACCTGGCCTTGAGCACTGCCAGGGATGGGGCAGCCACAGCTTCTCTGGGCACCCTGTGCCAGGGCCCCAGCACCCTTACAGGGAAGAGCTTCTGCCTAAGATCTGTCTAAATAGTCCATTGCAGCAATGCAGCCCCTGGAAGTTCTGCTTAAGCACAACCCACACCTGAATTACCCCAGCAGGTGGGGCTTAATGTTTGGACTTGATTCAAGGAAAAAATCTCTGCTAAAGGAAATCTCTCCCAGACATGGCTTTGTGCTTGCAGCAGACAGAAGCAAAGATTTATTAGTGTTTATTTTGAGGGGATTGGGGGTTTATTTTATTTGGTTTTTTTTTTCTGTTGGTTTCAGGGGAATAACAATCACAGTGGAGATTAACTCAGATGCCAGTGATCAGGAACAGAAATTCAGAGGGAAGAAGCTGATGGGTCATCCAGAGCGTTCGGATGAGCCCCTGGAGTGAGGAGTGTTGAGTAACTCAAGCAGGTGTTTGCTCTTGCTCTTTGCAGAGGCACGATCAGACACGCTCAGCACAGTCTTGCTTGGTCCAAAGGCCCACAGGTAAGGTCCTGAGGTGGAAGATACTGCCTTTGCCCATCATTCCTCAGACCTTCTGAGACTCCCTGTTGAAGGATTAGGGGAAGCAAGGCTTTATTGAAGAAGTGTTCTCTCATTCAGTGTTCTTAATCTTCATGTTACTAAGTAATTATAGTGTGTGCACTTCTCACTGCTCTGGGCTTTTTCCCAGCACTCTGGCAAGGTTAGAACAGGTCAGACTTAGTATTTGTACAAGTGTATGTGTGCAGCTCCATTGTATTAAATACATGGACCTGCTTCTGTCAAGTGTGCCATTGGAAATGAGTCTTTAAATTTAGAGTGACTGTGGCAGTAGGAATCAAATCCAGATGAATTTGGAATCTGTATTTATGTGTGTGTGGATATTTACAGCAGATGTTTATAAGTTGCAGGTAATATATTACTCTTGCCTGCCAAGCATTAGCGTACGTAGGACTGTTGCAAGTCAGATCGGATGTTTGATCAGAGGAGCTTGCAAAGCCTATTCAGTTTTAAAAACTACATCTCATCTACTCCAAATCTTACCAAAATAATCTTACTCATTCCACAAAGGCCTTGGAAATCACTGCCCTTGTTTTCAGCATTGAGAGATGCTCTGTGGTATTCTTACTTTCTCTAATGATGGCCTCAGGCCCTTTGGTCTACAGCCAATACTGTCATGACCAACTGTCAGTCTGGGAGGGAAAACAGCATGTGTGTGAGGCAGACTCAACCAAGATTAATAGCCCTGTTGCTTCCTGGATAAGAAGGACTCAATGGAAGCCTCAAAGTGGGATCATTTTCCATCTTTTTAAATCTATAAATTCTCATTTGCAGCATATCCAGGCATTGCCTGAGGAGCTGCTGCTGGGACCTGGAGCCTTACCCCGTCTCATCGTTTTTATGGCTTCAGACACTTCCTCCATTGTTGCTCCTCTATCCAGTGTTTTATTCCCTTCCAGGCAGAGCTTCATGCTTTCAGCATCTTCTGGAACCACAGCCGTGAAATCAGACATGGAGAAGACCTTCTGGGCATTCCCTATCTCTTGCTAAGTCAGGATTTTGCAGCTAATACCCCATGGATTTTAACTGCCCTGAGTGTTCTAACCCTGCTTTAACTATTTCCCCCCTTAATACCAGTTACATTTCTAACGTGTGGCTTCATTCCCAAACTACTGACTTCCCCAGTTCCCTGCATGCTTCGCATTGGACATTTTCTCTTTCCCTCTTCATTTCCTCTTTCTACATGTCCTCATACAACTCTTCATGACATTCGTGTCACTTCTGAAAATCCTGCCCTATTGATGGGTTACTGCATAGGGACAAATGTCAGAGCGGACTTTGGGACAGCTGGCAAAAAATAGCACAAATATCTCCTGATTTCCAATCAGGACAGAAGCTGTCACATCCTTTCCTACTATAGAGAAGAGGGAATGGGAGGGTGTACCCTTCTATCCTGATTTTTACCTTGGCTTTCATAAGAGTTGCCAGGCTGGGAGTGGGAGGATGATGAGCGGGAGAGGCAGGATTTGCCCCCTCCTTCTCCTCCACTGGAGGTTTTACCAGAGGCCCCACCTCCTGCTCCTCCGCTCGCTCCTCCTCCACCTCCTGATGAGGAAGTTCTTCTGCAGGATCCTCCAGTTCTTCCTCCGCTGCTTCCTCCACTTGAGGACCAACTGCTTCCTCCTCCACTACTGCCTCTTCCAGAAGACCAGCTGGTTCCTCCATGACCTCCTCCTCCTCCTGAAGATCCACCACCAGCTCCTCCCTGGGAGGTGCTGTAAGGAGGAAAGGCCATGAATGTGTAGCATTTATAGCAATGTGACCGGTGTCTGGTGTCCTGTCATCTGTACCAAAGCCACTTGCTGGCTCCTTCTGAACTCCTTATATGACTGAGGAAGTGCTGCTGTGTGAAGCATGTTCTAGAGAACTGCTTTGAAACTGTCTTGGTAAAGGACAAACTAACTGATTAAGGAAGAAGAAAAAGAAAGATAACGGATGCCTTTAGAAGGCTTTCAAAATATGTACCTTCTATATTTAGAATTCTAAAGAAGTTTTTTCTGTCTGACCTTTCGTTTTCATCTATAACTGTACTTCCTGACTGCACGTAGGAGACGAAATGGCAAATTATAGTCTTTTGCAATTGTTTTTGTGCAGTTCACAGTAATTGTAGAACACTGCAGCTTTTTACACTGCCAGCTAGGCTTTCGATTCCATCCAGATTCCTGTGACTGCAGTAGATATGTTGACGATTGACCACTATTTCCTAATATAAATACAGCTTCTTTCATCTTTGCCTGTTTGCAAAGGTTAATCTGAAAGTACGTACCCAATGCCATGCTGCCCCTCCTGCAGCAGAGCCCGGTACTGAGCAATCTCCTGCTCCAGGCGGGTCTTGATGCCCAGGAGCATCTTGTACTCTTCGTTCTGACTCTCCATCTCACAGCGGATGCTGGCCAGCTCCTCCTCCAAGGGACCAATCATCCCCTGGATCTGCTGCAGCTGCATGTTGTAACGACGTTCCGTATCTTCCAGGTTGGACTGCAAAGAGTCCACCTGCAAAGGGAAAGCACAAGATGGTGTTTATGGGAATGTGGCATGTTATGGGAATGTGGCAGGATCAGATCATTCTTATGCACTAAGCATCTTCATTAAATGGAGTGCTGGGTACATTCCAGCAGCTCACATGTTCTTTGTGTATCAGAGGATCAGAAGCAACCCTTCCCTACCATGCTGATCTGCGACTGCAGCTCAATCTCCAGGCTCTGGTATTCACGTCTCAGCTCAGAGATCTGTTGGTTGCTTGCCTCCACTTCCTGGCCACTTGAGTGGACCTGTTGACTCACTTCTTCCATCTGAAAAATTAATATATTGGAGTTTTTGAGTTTTACCTACAGTGGCAGCATGGTCAGTTATCATTTCCTTAACAGCTTGAAGCAGGGCCACTTGTAATAGGGGGGCTGTTAGAACTTGCTTGTGTGGCTCTGCCAGTGCAGTTCAAGGCCACTTGTGATGTCTTTTATTTTAACCAAAGGGATTCTACCATTATATCCTAAAAGCAATGGATGTCATCGTTCAAAGTGTCATTCACCTACAGGAAGTTCTTACCAAAGGTTGGCATGGGTTTTCTTTTGTGATGTGAACCTTCAGATCAGAACCATTTATTTACCTTGCTCTCATACCAGCTCTCAACCTCTTCCCGGTTTTTCTGAATGATATTTTCATACTCCTGTCTCATGGCATTCAGCTTTTTCAGCAGGTCCTCCCCTGGAGCAGCATTCACCTCCACGTTCACATCACCGCTCGACTGTGTGTGCAGCAATTTCATCTCCTGCAGAGAAGGCAAACAAAAAGGGGGAAATTGCTTTGCAAAACAGTTTTGAAGTCAGTTAATTTGCTCTGACATAAGAACCCTTCCTGACCCTTTCAACACCACCTGTGTGTATGCTGAATCTCCTTGACGAGGAGAACAGGGGAAACTATTTCGTGTGGAGGATGCTACCTGCAAACCCTCCCACATTTTGATATTGTAAGTGTTCCTGTTCTCCCCTGCGGTTTGCACTGCGAGGAGCTGGCTCTCACCTCCTCGTGGTTCTTCTTGAGGTCAATCATCTCCTCCTTCAGAGACTCAAACTGCATTTCCAGGTCAGACCTATTCAGAGTCAGACTGTCCAGCAAGGGCCGCAGGCTGTTGATGTCGCCCTCCACGTTCTGCCGGAGCCCACGCTCGGTCTCGTACCTGCGCCAGGGACAGTGCGAGGTCAGGGCCAGGGACAGCACAGAGGTCAGGGCCAGGGACAGCGCAGAGGTCAGGGCCAGGGACAACGCAGAGGTCAGCCCTGTTCTCAGGTTCCCAGTCCCACTTTGGTGTCTGCACTCCGTAGCACACAGCATCCCTCAACCAGCAGAACTGCGAAACCAGCAGCCAGTACTTAAAGTTTCATAAAGTGTTCTGTGGTCTTTTCATTGTTTCCTTTTGCTGTAGTCTCTGGGCAGGTTTCCTCTCTGTTTCATCTGACTTTCAGTGAGGGAAAATCACAATTTTTACTCCTTCAAATAAAGCTTTTTTTAAGCTTTGACTCTACAGCCATAGGGAGTGCTCCCATCGGAGATCATTATAGGAATAATAGGTTTGAACCCTTACAAATAATATCAGTTGTTCTGCTATGGAACCGGGAGGAACCCTGGTCTCTGTGGGTTGATATTTGCTTATGGAGTGGATGAATGAAACTAAGTTGAGGAAAGTAGGAGAAAGGAAGTCAGTGCCTGGAAAAGAGGATTATATATTTACTTTATCCTGAAGTCCTCTGCAGTCATCCTTGTGTTATCTAGGTCCAGAAGTACCTTGTTGGTCTCCACAGTTGCAGTCACAAGCTAGAAGAGAAGACAACATGCTGAGGAAGAATGTCCCTGTGAATCTCTCAGGTTTGCACAAGAGACAGAAATATGGATGTGATCTTGTTGTAATTCCTAGAAGTCTGAGGGGAACAGCATGACCTACATGCAGAGGCCTGTAAAGGTCGTGTACAGTGCAAACCAAAAAGGGACCTGTGTGAAAGCAGCATCAGAACTGCAGGAACTGTTTTGGGAGTACAGGAGTCCTGTCAAGACGCTTGTGTCAGTGCCATAGCTCTGTCTCACCTTCCATGCCCAGGGCTGGCCACAGATGTTTTACTCAATCGCAAAACATCTGTCAGTGCTTAAACTTCTCTGACAAAGAGCATCCTACCTGGTTTTGAAGGTCTTCAATCTCTCCATAATAGTGGCTGTAGTCCTTTGTGCCAGAAGGAGCTTGCTTTTGGTACCACTCCCTTATTAACTGCTCAAGCTGAGCATTTTCCCTTTCCAGGTTTCTGACGGTGTCCAGGTAAGAAGCCAGGCGTTCATTGAGGCTCTGCATGGTCAGCTTTTCATCGGTGGAGAGAATTCCCCCGATCCCTCCAGGAAAGCCACCACTGCTAAAGCTGCCACCACTGAAACCAGCACCACCTCCACCAAAGCTTCCTCCATAACCACCACCAAACCCACTCCCACCTGATCCAAAGCTCATGCCCCCTCCATAGCCACCACTGCTCATTCGCCCTCCATAATAACCACTGCTCATTCCTCCTCCACAGCTTCTGCTGCTCATTCCTCCTCCGTAACTGCTGTGCCTGATCCTTCCATAGCTACCACCACCAGCTCCGCCACCATAGCTGCTCCTGGAGCTTCCTCCAGCACAACTGCTGCCAGAGCTCCTGCCCCCACCGCTTGTCCTGGAAGTGACTCTTGTGGAGGAATACGTGCTGCCCCCTCCACCCCCAGCACTGCTGCTGCCGCCACCGCTGCTCCCGCGCAGGCAGCTTCTGGAGGTCTGTTTGGAGCCACAGCTCATCGTGGCAGCGGCAGTGGCTCGCGTGAAATCTCCAAGCTGGTCTTACAGTTGTTCTGGAATCATAGCTCCAAATTCCACCCTGCCTGGTCCACATTTATACCCGAGGTAGTGGGTGTCACCCTCAAAGGGAGTACCTTCTTCTCGTGTGTTTGTAAGCCGTTGTTTTTCTGCCAAGGGTAATTTGCCAAAGGGAGATGTTTGAGGATGTCAGGAAGCTTAACCCATGCTCAGAGTGCCCATGACCATTTGTTTGTTAAGACAAAACATGTAATTTCTATTGGGTGGCTCTGATTTAGGCAGATCTTTTCTGTGATCTAGTCACTGATTTGCAGTCATCTGAATTAACCTCATCCCACTCATCTCATCCTGTTCACATCTATTTCAGCACAACCGTGAACTGTCACAATGTGGGTCAGCGATGAATGTGACTCTATTTCTTCTGCTCTTTTGCCTTTCAGAATGTTGTCAAGGAATCCTGGCTGGTTTTGTTATACTTCAGTGATATTTTACCAGGTTCTGGTTTCTGGGTATCTGATGCTATATGCTCCTTATTTTCAGTCCTTTATTGGTTTATACCTTTTGGATATCCCAGGGTGTGTTTTGTGAGTGCTCTGAACCACTCCAATGTCTTTGTCATGGTGACCATTGGCCAACACCACACGCCCCATCAATCTATTCCAAACATCCATCCACAATTATGATTTATAAATAACAAATTAATCACGAAGAACTGTCTGACAACGACTGGAAAACAGCTCTGAGTAAGACTGCAAGGAAAGGACGTGTGACAGGATGTTTGTTGCAGGAAATAGATAGCTCTTTATGTGCTCAGAGCAAATGCAGTGCGGGATGGCTGGGAGACCCGGGAAGTGCCTGGCTCTGTACTGGGCTCTCCTGGCATGTCTGTGGATGGGAGAGGAAACACTCCCATGCCTGAAAGGGTTTCAGAATTCCAGGCAGGATGTTTTCCTCACACAGTGCAAATACAAGTGTCTGCTCGGAGGAGAAGGGTTAAGCTCCTGTTTTGGGGGATTCAGTCCTTGAGCTGTACATCAGAATAGCATCTTCGCAGTTTTCTTTGCAATTCATGGACATGGCATGACCAACAGTAGGAAATATTTCCTGTCTTGCATCTTCTTCTTCCAAGATCATGTCTTTTTCAAACGCACAGCAGTGGGTACTTCAGCTTTAGAGCTCTTACAGGAGCCTGCGCCTCAAACCCGAGTGCCCCCCACGTCTGCCCTCCTTCCCCTTGGGGGCTCCAGCCACATGCTGTCCGTGAAGTGTGCAGCTGCCACCCTTTGTCAGTGGAACTGTTGTGCGATACCCAGCTTCCTGTATTGATTTGGTTGTTGCTAGTTTAGACATTTGTTTGTTATGGCTTATAGCAAGTGTTTATGGAAACATCTTTTTCTAGTGCCCCTCCCAGCACACCCTCGCCCACACTGGAGGACACACCTCGGGTTTCATCTTCCATTGCTGAAATGTCCACGGAAGCAAGGCCATTGCTGGGTTGTGGAAGTGTAAATGGTGGGGTCCATTAGTGGCCCCAAAACTTAGTGGGGTCCAAGGCATAATTTTTGCTAGCTCCAGTGAGAAATCCTTTTGAAGTGCACAAAATTCTCTTCTATACTAACAGCTATTGTGTTTTGAAACTGTTGGGTTGCATTCCATTTAACGTGGCATCTTGTGGCATTGCCCAGGCTCTGGACCACTGGCATCACCCCATGAGGTGATGGATGCTCCCAGTCCACTGAGCATCCGAACACACTTTCCTCTCCCTGCCCACGTCAGTGGGCCTGGGAACAGGCACTGACAGATCGTTTGACCTTGCTGAGGACAGATCTCCATCATGGGCAGGTGAATAAAGCTGAGGTTTATTGCTTTTTATGCACTGGGCATAACTAATGGAAGAGGCCACGGTCCCAGCGTGCCCTCAGCGCTGAGCGTTCAGTGGCAGTCAGGAAAACCTGCCCTTGCACATTGACAGACCTGCTTGAGGTCAGAGACAAAATAGGAGGGGAAGGAGGAGGAGGATGCCCTGGGGGCAGATGGCACCACAGTTGTTTGTTTGCAATGAGGCCTCTTCTCTTATCCTGTGATGAAACTGTTTGGAGCTCCTGTCCAGAGGAGGTTGGGCCACTATTTAAGCCTGCACTGCTCACCAGTGTGGGCCCGAATTCACCCAGTGCACTTGAACAGCAGAATCACCATGTCCACAGCAGCAAAGGGTGTGCATCTTTCTTTTGGAGCGCGTGGCAGCAGCAGGGGGTGAGGCTGAGCTGGGGTGAGGTGCTGAGGGGGAGCTGAGCACACACAAGCCCATCTCTGAGCTCTGCATTGAACTGCTGAGGCTGCCGAGCACTCTGGTGGGGTATGAGCAGCCTGTTCCCCCCCTTTGCAGTGCTTCCCTCTTCCGTCCTTCCCACTTCTGGTCAGGTCTGGTCAGGGAAATTCAATTTGCTTATGTCGCTACACAGAGAAAAACTGGGGAAGATCTATCTGGGGAATATGATTCATTCTCATAATTGCACTTTATAAACTAACTTCCATTATATAATCAACAAGCAATTGTATTAACACCAGATAATCCCATAGGACAATATTTCTCCATAGTAAAGGAGAAACAGTCCCTGTGGCGTGACTGTTGGAGGGAGAACACTGTTCTTGTTCTGGACACTGCTCTTCCTCCCATTGAGGTTTGGCTGCCTAACATTTAGCATGAAACTGTTCTCCTCTCCCCTGGTATTTACATGATAAGGGCTTTTTTCTCATCCCAGTAAAAAGCTAGATGTTTGAAAATGGAAAAATCTGAGAAAATTCAGTTCAGATTATTTGAAACATATCAGGGCTCCATCACGTGTATTACTGTAAGAGTAGATTAACTGAGAGTTCTGAACAGTAATTCCTACCTTGCCATTTCCAGTTAGTGCGACAGTATGGGATGTGCTGTTCATTCTGTTCCTTTCTCCTGTGTGTATTTATGGCCACATTAATAAAATAAAGCAGTGCAAATTCTACACAAACCATTTGCATGTGATCATTCAAGGCTGGATGGGGCTTGGAGCAAGCTGCTCTACCCTGCCTGTGCCAAGGGGTTGGATCTGGAGGAGCTTTAAGGTGCCTCCAACCCAGACCAGGCTGTGGGTTTGTGATTCCCTGCATGCCTTAAAACCTCAAGTGAAGGTTTTTAAGGTACCTGTTTTGAAGTGAGGGGGTAAGTCCCACCTCTCCTGTGCTCTTCTGCAAGACAGGGTGTGAGTCTTGGCATCTGCCCACACCCCGAGATGTGTGGGCATGGGGAATATCCCTGGAATGTGTCCTGATTGTGTCCAATGGTCCAAACATGGCCCTTTCACGCACCTCTCAGGGAAAGCTGGTGTGCAGCATCAGGATGGGACCTGCTGCCCTCCACAGAGCATGGTCAGCAGTGGCCAGTCCAGCAAACACCTCTCCTGGAGATAAATTCTTGCCTCCATTGTACTTGATCTATTACTCATTCGTTATTGCAGAGACTGGTACTGTTGAAACATTAAAGGGCACCTTCAAAAGATCCACCACCCAATGGAACGATGGTGATTATGATAGGAACAGTAATTAGGTGAGTCACAGCTGTGAGAGACGAACCCATTTAGAGTATGAACCCTTTGGCTGGGAACTTCTTCATTTTGGGTCTAGGCAGCCCCTTGCACAGTTGACTCTGGGTCTCAGCTAATTCTACTCCATTGGCAAGACCTTCATCAGCAAAGGGTCATTCTAACCCACTTATAACCCCTATGGAGAGCCTGGGTTTCCCTGTGCTCCTGCCTAATGACAGGGTGCAAAATACTGCAGTGGTATCGTCACATGCACAGGGATTACTGTGATGAGTTTCAACCTGGCGTCAGTTCTGATCCCTTACACACAGGAGCACCCAGTGGGGGGTTCAAGGAGGGAGGGAGGAAACTGCATCATCCCCTGCAAGAGTCACACACACAGAACCAGGTCATGTCAACCTCACTGCGGCTGCGCCCACTGAATACTGATGAGGGAACTGGAGCAGGATGTCAGGGCTGACAGCGGGTTGTGTTTTCAGCTAGCAGGAGCTCCCTGCGCATACCGCAGGCACGACTTCGTCTGTTTAGTGTTTGTGGAGTTGTGCTAGAGGAGGAGCCCAGGCAATGGGAGCTGGGTTTGCCGCACGCCTCCCGCTCGCCTTCACACCCTTCGGCACCTTTGGGAGCTGGGTGCCCTCTAGAGAGCAGCTGCAGACCGAGGTGCAGGGCCTCCATCTCCTCCAGCATCACCAGACATCACATGCAGTGCAACAACACGGGTCTGAATCCTGCAGCGCTGTGGGCACAGGGATTGGCAGGGCAGGAGGGAATGCTTCCCCTCACAGCCGGCCACTGCTGTTACTGCACCTTTGCTACCACTGCCCTTTATAGAACGTTATTTCAGTTACATATTGTTGTGCTTTCGGTGTGTAGCCCAACAGCAGCTCCCTTTTAGCCACAGACAGCATCAGCCCAACCCATCTGCACCTCCTGGCCTCTCAGTGAAGTGTTAGTCCCGTTCTCAGCAGGGCATCGGTCGCAGCCCGGCGCTGCAGGAGCTGCTCACCCCATGGGTAGGCGCAAAAGAGGCAGGAGGGGACTGTGTGGGAGCAGGCACTTGGGAGCATGTTGCTCTTGGATCTGCCAGTTAAGTACAGCTGACACCTTATGGAGAGACTTGGGAAGTACTGAAGCGTCGCTCAGGCTGCGTTTATCAGCAGCTTTCACCAGTTCCTTGTTCTTTGGCACAAGCAGCCTTTGTGTGTCCGCGTTGTTCATTAGTGCAGCTGCTCTTAAGCTTTTGTCTGAAATCAAGTGAAAAGCTCTTGCTTGAGCCTTGCTACAGAGGGGATGACAGCCAGCCCTGCCCTGAGCTCTCGGGCTCAATTTCACTTTCCTCTGGAAAGCAAGCCCAAACCGAGGCAGTATAAATGTTTTCACAAGCTCTCCAGGTTGATGCTTCGTTCCGCGGTCGCAGCAGGGAAATGCCAGCGCCGACAGCGGTGCAAAGGGAAAACTCAGCTGCCAAAGCCACGGGTTTTAGTTCCAGTGGGACGCTGCCTCTCCCTCGGGTTTGATTCCCGTGCTCGGGAGCAGGCGGCGGCTCAGCTGCGCAGCTCCAGGGTGTTACACGGGGGGTTGTACATGGGGGGAAATCTCGGTGTGGGCAGAGCGCGGTGCGAAGCTGGGCCAGCAACGCGGTGTGGGAGCCGCGGGCACCAACCCAGCCTGAGCCTGGTGCCCGCGGTTCTGCTCCCTGCCCTGCCTGCGCCGTGTCCCGCTGCTCCGCACGGCCCCGTCCGCCAGGGATCAGTCGTGTTGCTTCTCTGCTGCGGAGCCCAAGCACCTCCCCTGGCCCCGGCCCGCTCCCTGCTCGCTGCGGCGCTCAGGCTGAGCAGCAGCCCAGGCAGGGGTGCTGTTTGTTCACCCAGCTGGGTGCCCTGCTCAGGAGTGGGATCTGGAGAAATGCACTCGCTTTTGTGCTTCAAATGCTTTTCAATTTCTCAGCACAGGGCTCCAAAATAACTTTACGTGTGGTTACGTGTGAGAAGCGCTGGTGTCGTGTTAGGTTATAAAAAGGGCTTCCAGGCCACTCGCTGTCTCCATCCTGTGAGTGTCACTGCACATCTGTGGATATCCAACCATCCCTTGGCCATCTCAAGAGAAGAGACTCATAACAGAATCTGCTATCTCAGCATCTGCATTGGGCTCTGCTGACTGTCACCCAGGTACTCAGGCCCCATGGTCCCTCTCCCCAGGCAGATAATTTGAGCAGACAAGATGGGATGTGCTCTGCAGAGAGGCAGATACATATAACAGGAGTCCCAGGAGGAGTCAGGAGGCACGTCCCTGCAGTGCAGGTCTGTTAAGAGGTACATGACTGACATCGTCCTCCCCAGCAGCCAACACGACTCACGGTTTAGTGCCTGCCACATCAGGAGAGCAGC